AAAAAAAAAAAAAAGGAGCTCACAATAGACCATGACAGGCGCACTCGGTGAAAGTGGCCCCCAGCCAGCGTCGTTTCTACCCTCGCAAGAGTAGTTGCCGTGAAAGGAGCGTCCCACAGCTTCGAGCAGCAGCTTGCTCGGATCGATATCGCAGAAAATTAAAGATTCCTCGGTGGTCGTGGTGGTCGAGCTGCTATTCCTCGTGCAATCCGGAAGTTCTTTCAACAGATCCCCGTCCAAGTACCATCGTACGGCGGTCAGGCTTGCTGGATTCCCGGTAACAACCTCGCAGGTCAGCGAGACGTTCTGACGGTCCGCCTCGTTCACAGGTGTTTCCGGGTCCATTATCACCTTCACCACCGGCTTGTCTGCGGGCAGATAAGAAACGGTGAAACGGCCCCTCGTTATCGACCGTTTGCTTCTATTTATTCCTTTCAGAATTTTAGGAAAATTGCTTCGTATTTCGATATTTTTTTATCATTTGTTCCGTGAGGGATTTCTTTGCGAGACGGAATAAGATATTTGTTCAGTGAAATGTTGGAATTAATTTTAGCTAGAAAAAAGAAATATATTAATTTTTAAACTTGTATCTGGAAATTGGAAGAGAAAATTGTTGATTTGGGCAGATTTTATTATTTTTAGTGTAAATTTTTATATCTATGAAATTTTATTAAATATTATATATACTTTACTTTGAATATTTTATAACTTTTGCTTATTATACTTTATATTAATAAAATAACGTAGTTTTACTCTATTTATTCATTGTATAATAACATGAATATCTTCCCTTTACGTAATACTTTAAAAAGAAGACATTAAAACAGGCAATTTTTCAACAATGTGAAAGTTAGTTAGTCGTGAAGTTAGTTATTCTAAAAATAATAAAAATTCCACCAATCACGCAATAATTCTTCCTCGTCCAATGTGACAAATTTAATATTGAAAACATGATCATTCGATCGTATCATCCACAACGTGTCATCATCCCATTGCGCAACAAAATCTAATAAATTTAATAATGAAAATCGATAATCGTGAAAGGAAACCATAGAAAAAAAATAATTTTCCATCGAAAGAGAAAAACAGACGGATGGAAGGAGGCAGATAGAAAGAGAAGGAAGCGTTGTATGTTTTACGAGCAAAGATGTATATATCCACGATTGAAACTATTCAAAACGAAGAGTATAAATTACCCAAACCTCCGGGAAAACGATCTATTTATGCTACATCCGGCCGGATAAACAGGAAATGAAACCGTAGAAGAATAGAAATCTTCTATTTCGACGATTCAATCAAACAAAATTTGGCGAAAAAAAAAAAGAAAAAAAGAAAAGATTTTTCTCCTTTCCCTTCTCTCTTTCTCATAGTTTCTTTGCCAAGGCAATCAAGATTTCAACAAGTTCGAAACAAAGGGATCCGGGAAGCGAAGTCTGCTCTTCGAAGAGAGGATAGAAAAAAAAAAAAAGAAAGAAAGATGGAATCCAACGAAACTAATTTTCCGTGTTCGAATTCACGGCCCGGTTCCTATGGATTGTTTTCGCAAAATACAACAAGCCCGGAGCTAAGGGCGCAATTAGAATTTCATTGTATCGCGGCCGGAGTTTACGGTAACGGGACGTTAACTTCCTGGAGAGGCGGAAATGGCTGACCCAATAACCGGTATGCCACGTGAGAAAGGGGCTTATTTAATTCCATGCTGATATGCAGTTGTTGAAACTGTATATACGAGTACTATGCTGTGAACGAAACTGTTAACGATAAAAGATCGGAATTAAGTTGGGTTACTGATTCAATACTGTTAATTAAAAGTTGAAAAGTACAAAAATATCGATTTATTGGTGCGACAGAGATAGGGATTATGTCTCGATTATTATCGTATGATCGATACGACGAGAAATGGTGGATCTAGATTATCTTAAATTAAAACACCTTTTGACGAAGCCATTTTATCCTGCGGCTTTCAGATATTCCTTGGAACACTTGGATAAAACTCTCCCCTAGTTGTTCTATTTCGATAGCGGTTCGATTATATACTTGTTTGTTGTTTCTGTACGACTTTGCATTCTGTGTTTCGTTTAATAGGCGTTTTCAAGTTCAATTTTGTCGCTTTGTTTAAATTAAACTTCTCGTTTATTTTTCGAGAGTTAGTATAAAAGTATAAATGTCGAAAGTTCGAAGTTTTTAACATAGTTTCGCGAAGTTTCAAATCTTTCATTCCTGATGATTGTAAGGAAGTTCTCCCCTCCGAAAGGGAAATGCGATTGAGAAATTGGATATATAAAAGAGTTGCGTGTTTATTATAGCAAAATTTATAAAAGAAAATCATTTTTTGGATATCCAATTCGGTTATTTTTCCTTACGTAATTTTATTAATAATAAAATATTGTTAAATGTTTTTGTAAAAGGTTTAAATCGAATATTATATTTATATTTTGAATTAATCATTCATTCTTATTTCTTCTACTATGAATTGTACTGAAAAATAATGCCAAGTCTTATATCTTTCTTTCGCAAACATAGCAATCTGAATCTCAAACCTCTCCTGAATCAGTTTGATAAATGGACCTGTCCACGATCTTGTGTAAAGAAACCCAAAATTCTAAATGACACAAGAGTGATAATACCTAAATCTTTCGATGGAAATTCTAAAAATTGTAAAGGAAGAACTGGTTTGATTCGATATCGAAATCATTCATTTTAACGGATTAACCCCCCATAAGTTCCTTTCTCAATAACCCTAATATGTGAAATTACTGATACCCAAAACTCGACAAATATTGGAGTATTGATTTAAAAAATTCAACGAAATAGAAACGAAATAAAATTTTTTTAATCTTACACACGATGTTAATATTTTCAAAATCAATTCCACAATAAATGACAGTCAAATAATGTTAATTAGACAAATTAAAATATACTAGTCAAAACGAGGTAATGATCATGATTATGCGAAACAAAACAAGATCATATTCAGACAATGATAGCACAGTTATAGTTAGATAAAACAACGATTAAAAAGAAACAGATAGAGAGAAAAAGAAACAATTATAATAAAACGAGATAACACATTTAATCGAATAAAATACGAATAGAGATTAAAAAAAATACTCCGAATCCTAATTACGTGCTTAATGCAATAACAAAAGATCGATCGACTCGTGATAATGAAATTGGCGATAAAACGATTGACATCTGCCGATTGTTGAAAACGAACGGGCCGATTTGACGATTCGCCGAACCGTGTAATTGTCCGGCTTAATTAAGATACCTCTGCTTCATTATTCATAGCATGCCCGCTTCGCTTTTCATTTGCCCCGTTTAAATAAGTGACGATAACTGGCTGCCCTTGTCACTTCCATCAATTATAACTTAATATTGCCAAGTATTTCGAGCCCATCGGCCTTTTATCGTCGACAAGTGTTAAATCGGCGTGATGCGTATAAATTCGGCGACGATAACGATTCGGTGACGAATAAATTGCATCCCCCGCGTTCGACCATCCTTTTTTCTTCTTTTTTTGCCAGCGTTGATTTACACTCGTCGAATAAATAATTGCCAAACGATTTATCGTTCGGTTCGAGTCGACCGAAGGAAATTAGTCCTTGTAATGAAGATAAGTGCGAAATGCATGGGCCGCGCAAAGGACAAAATGGCGCGGATAGATCGATAACAAGAGGGTGGTATATTTCTTTTCATCCTCATCTTTTCTTCGAAATATTTAATTGATTTTTAACTTGTTCATTCGAGTTGAGGATAAAATGAAATATTTGTGAAATAAGAAGTGATTAGAGTTTTCGAGGAATTGTAAAATATGACGGCAAAGAAAGAAATTCTTTTTCGTGGAAATGCTTTGACTGGATATAGTAAAAGCATAAATAGGAAAGATTATAAAATTCGTGTGATATTAAATGTAATACCATCAACAAGATTTTACACGATTCATTTTTTTCATGAGAAGATTTTTCGAATCTTGATCTTAAAAATCATAAAAAATGCGATGGAAATTAAAATTAGATAAGTTTTGCAATTAAAGAAAATAATATTTTTCCTCTATAAATTATTTGAAACATAAAACAAATAAAATTATTAATTAATATGATTAATAATATGTGCAAGTATTAGTTTAAAAAAAATATTATTTTATAAACACATTACTCACAATTATTAATTTAACTATTAATTGAATCGAATTGTCTGTGTATTAATTGAATCGTAGATCGATTTAACCATCAATGGCGTTACATTTAATGGAAAAGAAAGAAAAGATTTGCAAAAAGAATGTTGGACAGATTATGTTTGGAAATAAAAAAAAGAACAGGTACGTTCCGGCATTGGTTTTAAAGCGGAACTCGCGAAAATTTATGGACGCATAAATATCGTTTACCGGAATAAAACGCGATAAATTGTCGTAATGCGAAACGGAACGGAACTGTTTCTACAGGTATCTTTTCTTCCCATCGATGATGTCGATTTTATTTTTTTTCATCGACGGTATTACGAATTATTATTAAAAAAACAGTAACATCGAAAATTTATTAACGTATCATTTCACGATACCCAAAAATTAATGAAGAAAATTAGATCAATAGATTTAGATTTGTTTTGGAACATTTTTCACGTATAAAATTTGTTGAAACGAATAAAATTACTATTGATATATATATATATGATTTTGAATTTTAAAATCGTATTAATTTCGAAATACTTACACAGAACAGAGACTTGAACGACGTCCTCTGAAGTGGATGCGGCAACGTTATTCTCTAGTACACATTTGTAAGTGCCCATGTCACTGGGTGTCGCATTTTTCACGGTGAGGGCCGTTTGCTCCGTGATACCGCCCTCGTAGTGATCGTCGGTTAGAACTAATTCCTTGTCGTCTCGATACCTGAACGAGGTAAATAAAACACTCTTTGTAGAGATTACGTAAAAAAGCTAAAAAAAAAAAAAAAAAAAAAACAATTCGTCTTGTTTTATTTATACCAAATTTATACTTTTTTGCAATTTCTTCTTATATCAAATGATTGTACTTGATGTATTTGTATCATATTTTTTTTGTAAATGGTTTCCAATTTCCATTTTAATATAAAGCAGTGTTTCGAGTTAATTTTTATTAGGATTAAAATGTATTTGTATTAACGAAATGATGCAAATCATTATTTCTTCGAATTCGAAATTCCAAGTGTCTTGATAATTTTAAATCGAAAAAAAAATGCAAAAATAACAAAAAATTACACGTTACGCAAATAGAACAAGCGCTGAATTCATAAAAATTTGATTTAGTCGAACGAAACATGTCAGTCAGATTTTTCAATATTTTTAGAACATTACACCTCGCTCGAATCAATTTGCAGTGCGAAAAAACATCGTCGAGGCATAGTATCTCCTTTTTTCCCATGAAAAATATTTTAATTCGTAATCGAAAGGAATATTGACGCGAACCAAATAATGTTAAACACGTGTTCCCTTTTCATGTTTCTCATTCTATTTGCAGTTATCCATGTGATTTTTAATATTCGACATTCGAATAATACACGATAAAAATGTCTCGTAGAAATCGATTTACAATTTAAAATAATCTCTCTGTCTCATATATATATATAAGTAATATTTGAAAACAGGAAAGAGGAAAAAATTGTTTTTTTTTTACTAGCAAAATGAAAATTTATCGAAAATAACATGCAGAGAAATATATGGAATAAAATAGTGTAATATATTAACAGAAAATACTAGTTTAAGTTTAATCAATAGAACTTAAAAATATTCCATTACAAATCATCAAATACGAAATTTTCATAAAGAATTATTCCTTTCATTCTCTAAACCTTGCACGACGAACTAAAAAAAGAAAAACGTATAATATATTATTTAAAAAAATATAGACAGGTTAAATAACATTATTATTAACATATATAAATATATATATTTTCACTCCTTTTCCTTCTCCAAACGCTATTATTATTTAAAATCGTGAAAGTGGTATTTTTGAAATTTATGAAAAACATTGGCTTCCCGTATCATCATCCCTGTGCGAACATCAAACGAGCATCCTTCGTTTTTTTTTTTTTTTCACGTTCCAATTTTTCCCGATAAAACTCGATCGGTGGACTGTGTATCGATGATCGATGTCGAAAGCGTAAAGCAGCCATCGAACAGATGACTCTTAATCAGCGCGCGCCATCTCTCTCTCTCTCTCTCTCTCTCTCTCTCTCTCTCTCTCTCTCTCTCTGGTAATTACCCTCTCCCTGGTAATCGCGTTCGTTGAATTTTTATTGCACCGCATGGCGGCAATTTCTTACCCCGAAATATTTCCCTCCCGCTATAACCAGACACCTGGGATTGAAACCAACCCCCTCCCCCTCCTTGTGCGCGTGTACACGCGCCATTACATGCATCAGCGTGAAATATGGTTTTTAGGGTGGGCCAGAGAAAAGTATAATAAATCATCCCGATAAATTCGCGCCTTTTTTATTTTGACGTTTCGAATGCTGCTGCTGCTGCCGCCTCTCGTTGGATACTTTTAAATCCCTCCACTTCCGTTTCCACCGGTGCTATACAAGCATAAGGTATCGGTAATCGGTGCGCGTAAATATTCGTTGGTTCGAGGGATTTTCAGGAGATCGAAATTCACCCTTTTTTTTCACGGAATATTCCCTTTAAAGGTTTTGTGTGTAATAAGAAAATTCCGCGAGAAATTGGGATTATTAATCACGTAATCAATAATATTGATCGGGAGGCGAGGTATTGCAAAAATTTGCAATTCAAAGTATCCATTTGCAATTCGTTAATTGATCAATACTCGGATGCTCTCGAGTGGTTCGAGAATATCATTAACTCTGGAGTGATAGTTTCCAGAGAGTATGTGACGTGATTCTACGTTAAATATTGACTTTGAGATTCGGTATCGATATAAAAAATCCATAAATGATTTTATTATTGATTTTATTGATACGCTATTCGTAAAACAAATGAGACTGTGAATTAAATGTTTGATTACAATTTTTTTTTAAATCTTCTCATATTATAACTTACACTTTAATAGATAATCAAGTATGTTATCACATAGTTGTATGATATAATTTACCAAACTGTTACTCCATCGCCATATTTATTAATCTATTTATATCACTATTACAAAACGTCAACACGAAATTCCAAGAAAAAGTACTTCACATCGTAATTCCTTCTTCGAAGAACAAAACTCCGCGACAGCGATAAAAACATCAGAAACAAAGAAACAAGACTTAAGATAAGAAAATAAGATTTCAAGTAACAACCCCTCCTAATAGCATTTCCTACTCCAAAGCGAAAAGAACAAAAAATTTCCCTCCCGCCTAAATATTATAAATACTTCGATCGTGCATCCCATCATAAACCCTCTTAACGTGCCAGCTTAAAATCGTTTTTGCAAAACAGCTCTTTCAGTTATTACGTTATAAGTCGATAAAGAAACTGTATCGTCGCGCGGCCCGAGTTCCAATCCAATCTTCGCTCGTTCCAGGATTAACTTTCCACCGGTTTACCTTCTTTTTTTTTTCCCTTTTCCTTTTCCTTTTTTTTTTCTTTTCTTTTTTTTTTTTTTTTCTCTTTCGTAACACGGTTAGTCGAGGCGGTTAGGAAGAGGCGGTTATAAACCCGCGCGAGCACAATAAAGTTGGCCAGTTGAGAGTTCGTTGAGAGAATGTTGGATTCTCGGGAGGATGCTCTATGGAGATGACTTCTAACGCTTCTTAAGATAACGCGTTTAAAGTGAGTCGTTTAAAGCGTATCGTGGATATTGGAGGTCGATGAGCGAAGAAATTACGGTTGGTTTAAGAAAGGAGAAAGGGATGGTATTCTGATAAATGATCATTAATAGAGGACAGAGGTGATAAAAGTCTCACTTTTTTTTTTTCAGTTAACTTTCATTTAATCAACCAGTTTTTTTTTACTATTAGCATTCAACGAGAGAAACGAGTGTTTTGGAATCGAAAGAGAATGTGGAAGAAGAAATTTTAGGATTCAATGTTGTATAATATGCATTATAATAATATAGGTTGTTGATATATTTTTGGGATTTGAAGGAAAAGAAATTGATGCATAAAATTGGTTGAGATTTCCTTTTTTGTCGATTTTTGTGTTTGCTTTCGCTTCTAGAATCGATCCAAAGGTTTTCTATTGAATATATCAACATCTTGTATATTATAATGTATGTAAGAGGGGAGGAATCTATCAAACGAGTAGCACTCAAGTCATTTATAAAGTACAGATAAGCACTCAAAAATCTAGATTCAGAAATCATGTTCAATCTGGATATGATCGAGCTCTAAATTTTTCTTTGATGAAAGAGAAAAATCAAAATATATCATTGTTACAATGAAATCGATTCTTCTAATTCCAAATCTCGAAATTTGTTATAAAGAAAGAATGGTTGTATGTAAAAATAACTTGAAATCGCAATTTTTATTCCAATAAAAAATTAAAGATTGAATTGAATGAAAATTGGCAGTGATGAAAGCAATCTTTTAAAGAAAATAATAATAAATTCATAAAAAGGAAAATATCGAAAATTAGGGGAAGAGAAGAAAAAAGAGAACCGAGCAAATCGATAATACGTGTTCTGAGTATAATATTTAAAAACAAGAAAAATAAGACAGGATGAATATTAATGAGCGAAGGAAAAAAGCAAATTATTACATCGAATTGATATATCGCAGTTTTACGTGTAACTGATGTGCCCTTGAACATCAATTGACAAGATTTATGATGGTTTTTAGAAAAAAACATATGGATCAAAGTTGAATAATATTGCTTTTTAGGTTTGACAGTTTCGCGATTTATCAAGCATTTGATATACGAATCTCTTTTATGCACGATTCTCAATATGTCTGTACTTTCGTTCACTTTTTACAGACTTTTATCTCGCAAAAAAGAAAAAAGAAAAAAAAAAAAAAAGAAAAAAGGAACAAAAGTAATCAAACTCGATATATCATTATTTAAAATTTCTGGATTAATTGTCTTAGATAAAAAAGAAACAAGAATTTTATCGTCTGGAAGTAGAAACGATAAACCACAGAAACTTGATAAAAAAAAAAAAAAAAAAGAAAAAAAAAAAGAAAAAAAAGACAAACAAAAATTTTCGATAAAGTTTCCAACCAATTACTCTATTCACAACCGTGAGTTGCACCGTAATTCAATGTACGTAGTTCAACGTGGAACAATTTACCCTGATCCTAACAACAGCGTTATAACATAATTTCTTGCTGAATTGCCTTTATTCCCCTTATATTCCCCTCCCTCCCTTTCTTCCCTCGTTTATATATTCTTATTTCTTTTTCCTCTCTGTAAAAAATTCTATATCGATTTCACGAAAACGCTCTATAAAACGATCTATATAACACTTTCCCGTGCTAGTTCTCCGGAAATAGAGAGAGCTTGATAAACGAGCAAAATCGTTCACCACAAAGAGAGAACGTGTCAACATCTGAAGAATGAAAAACATGGATTTACGTGATTCAGAATGGGCCATGTGGTAAAGACAGGCAACATAAATTCGTGATTCTTTCCTTCCCCCCTCCCCCCATTCGATTTGTGTTCAAAACATGTTCGATCAATTTTTATCAGGAGACAGCGCGCTATAAACGCGTGACGCACCCTATTTTACGCCAAAGAAATTCGCTATGCGTGTTTTGAAATCGGTTGAAACGAAAGAATAAACACCGATTCCGAGCTGATATATGCGGATAAAAGCGTTAAATTTACCATTGTTTTCATTTCTAATGGGAAACGATAAATTCAATGAATTATAGATGTTCTCTATTTATAAATGAGAACGATTCATTTTTTGAATGCACTTTTTGTTCGAATTTATGGAACGAACGATCTTGACGCGTTGTATCCATCCTACGAGTAATGTGAATATATTTGTGGAACATGATTTCGAATCGACTCTTGAAAGTTAAAAGTTTGTATATAAAGATGTATTAATTATTAAGTTGTAAGCGATTTAGCAAGCAATATTCATTCGAGTGACTTGCCAAATAAACTAATATTAATATTAAAAATATTTATAGAATATTATTGAATTTATTATCAAATTAAAAAATTAATTTCCTTTATTCAATTGTTTAGAAATATTTCCTCCTTAAAGTATCGTATTCGTTAATTACAAAATCAATACAGAATGATATCGAGCATCGTATCTTCGTATATTTAACGAACACAAATATCTGTAATTAAATTTCTGTACAAAGTAAGCATTATTTCGCCTCTATATTGGAAAATGTAAGAATAAATACGTACAATGAATTGCGTCCCCAATTTCTGCTATTAAGTATTGATTTACTGCAATGTTCAATTGCTTCGTGGTTTATAGAGGATTTTACAGTAATGAAAATATAATTGAATTTGGTCACCGATATAAATGAATTCGGCTTTAAAATTATTTCAATTGTTATCTATATATTATACATATAATCTCGAGAAATTAATATATGAAATATCAGACAGTTGATATTTTATTTTTTTTTAAATTAAATTAAATTAAATTAAATTAATAAAAATTCACTTACCATGATACTCTCGTTAAGGTAGCCGGGTTAGCTTCGTAATCGCAAAATACTATAAAATCTACGGTTTCATTTACGGTGATATTCTCTGGCTTCATCGTTACTATAGGCGGATCTGTAAAAGACAAATTAATTTTTTACATTAAATTATCAAACATAAATTTTTGATTAACAAGGTAAAAAACAATTAGAATTAATTTACATAATTTGAAAATAAATTTTAAATACTAATATTAATTTATGAATTTCACTTTCAACTTAATATAAATATTTCTGTAAAGTCTAGAAAAATCTCTTAAATGTCGTTTAATATGTAATTTCGAAATAAATTTGTCAAAGCAACGCTATTTTTACAAAAATTTTCTAAACAACCATAATATCTATGTACGTAGCACCACTTGTATCTTCGCGTTTCTTAAACAGAACTCGGGATATAATTCAATTAAAAGCGTCCCCGTGAAAATGTGGAAACTCTCGGCGCGAAGATGAAAAAGAGATGTCGAGTGGATCTTATTTCGCCAAGATTTTATGTCGAACCATGTGTCGCGTGAAAAGAGGAAAATGGAAAATACGACGTCACAGAACACGCAAATTGAACGATATAATGCAACTCATAATTCTCCAACTCTATCAAAATTTTACATTCATAAAATAAAATTATTTTTCTAAAAAGAAGAATTAAATTATCGTTGCCTAATACCAATGAAAATTCGAATCGATCGAATTCATCACTTTAACACTTTTTAAATATTATCGGAGAACAACTTTTTCCTTATCAATGAATAGTAAAAAAAAAAAAAAATTTCCCCTCCACATTTCGTTCCACTTTCGTGAACAGAAATGCACACTATCGATATCGTAGAAATGGAAGGCGAGGGTATCCATATGCATGCCTCCGAAAATACGTGGCCGCGAGACGTTTGGAATTAAAATAACGCTTGCCCGAAGTCATGGGAACCGGAAGGTGCAGGAGGCCTCGTCCGCGTTCCGAGATATGTTTAAACGCGACGGCGCAAAATGCCCGGTATAAAACAAAACCCTCGTAAATAAGCGAGAGTGGACCCTCTCCCTATAGAGTGAGAGAAGTTGGAAACGCGCCAACCCCGCGAGTTTCACGTTTCCAATCCGTGGATAGTTTTCCTGCTGGCTACGAAAACGAAACTTTCTCCCTTCCAACCCTCCCAACCGAGATCCGAGAGCTGGAAACACGAACCAGACGCTCCACAGTCTTCTTGTCCTCCTCTCGTGTCTCGTTATGACGGAATCTTCCGTCTGGGTGGAGCAATTGAAGAGAATGTAACGAAAGGTTACCGAGAACGGTTTGAAAGGGAAGGGACTTTCGCGGGGCTCGTTTAATTTGACCAGGTGGCGCGAGTTACGCTGGGCTTAGGTTAAGTTTGTACCATATTTTCTTAAGCCTCGGCTAAGTTTCTTTTAACGTTTGGAAGTATGAAGAATGAATTGTCGAATTCTCTATTTAATTTTTCATCTTAGGAGTAATGTTAATAAAAATTATTCTGGTACAAGTTTTAAAGCTTTTAGATTATTTGAAAATTAATTGCAGTATTTTTAATGAAATATAAAATGTTCTATTTCATTATTGTTTTAAAATTTTGTTCTTTTTTTTTTTTAAAAAAGCTGAGTTTTTCTAAAAGTTAGAAAGTAAAAACTTGATGAAAAGATTGAAATATATTAGTTAGATGGAAATTTTAAATATGGGGAATGCAAGAACTTGCGTTGCAATTCTATGGATAGATCATAAGATAGCGAGGGATTACCATGATGCTCTACGTTTTCTTAATGGTGGTGGTGAAACTGGTAGATGAAAAGAGCTTTTTTTGGTCGAGAAACATTAAAGGATTTACGTAGAAGAAGATAAGGAAAGTAATTTTTAAATTTCTTCAGAGCTCGAGGATATCGTTCCGTGAGATATTTAACGCGATAAATCGATAAGAAAAAAATAGTGAACATGTACAACCAATTGTTAACAACATCGTCGATATCTAATTCTAAAATTAACGATAAATAAATGAAATATCCTCTATAAGTTTCAAAATATAACGATTAATGGCATGTCAAGAATTTTCACATCTTAATTTCCGATTTTAATATTTTAATAATCATATTGCAAAATGAACGTATCCATTCATTTCCATTCCCCCTCTTAAAATCAAACAAACAATAAATGTTCCTTCTTGTCTTTTGCAAAACGATGAACACATTCCCAAGCAACTTGGAGATATTTCAAATGCAACGGCATGTTCTTCCTTTCCTCTAAAAAATTGGCGGATTATCGAACGAGCATCGAACGAATCTAATTCGGGTTAATCGAATCTACGATTATACCCTTTGTGCGGGGGTGAAAAAGCGAATTGGAGAGGGCGCGATGAAACAGGAATATATACAACTGTGATCTGTGAAGTGTAACTTAATTCCAGGCCTGCCTCCTACACAGTTGGACGTTGATCAAACACAGGGAAAAAATTCCAACAACCACCACCCCCTCGCGGAAGAACATTCGAGTCGTTGCGCGCACCTTTATTCCTTCGGATCGACACGGCTAAATTACAGCCGATTCTTTGCGATCCTTTTTTTTTTTTGTGGACGAACCGTAGGGGAAAATTTCGTTTTAATCGTGCCTTTCGAGAGACAAGAGCACGGGAATGGTAATTTTATCGAACGACTTCGATGTTTTCGATATTTCGGTGGTGCAATGAAGATCGCCGAGCTTAATTGTCCGACTTCGTTTTAATCTGTTTTCGATACCTTTTTGCGCGATGAGAAATTATATTTTGACGAAATATAATTTTATGGAGAAAGTTTATGTTAAAATAAATTTGTAAAGTTATCATGAATGTTCAATTTCATATTTTCAACCGTGAAAACATAATTTATTATATAAAAATAAAATTAGCGTTCGCTTGTTCTCAGTATTTCTTCTTTGTCATTTTTTAATACACACTGTATTTTCATTCTAAAATTATTATTTGCTTGTTCAACATTTCTCTTCAACTTTATTCTTGAATTTTATTCTCTTTAATTTTTGATATTAAACATTTCTTTTATTTGAATCATTTCACTAACTTTCCAAATAGTTTCAATAATTAAACAAAATAAAATCAATAAAGATATCAATGCCAAAAATATTTTATCTTTCTTTTTATATCAAGCAATAAATATTTTAACGTGCTAAAAAGAACAGAAAATGTTATTAAATACGTTAAAGCTTCTCTTAACTATGATAAGGTGTCATCAAAGCTGTAATCCGATCATTCTGATATTCGTTTATTATAATTATATCTTGTTTTAATAGCCTGCTACGCGTGACCCATATTTTTCCACTTTAGTCATTAAAGAATTTAACGTTTATTATAATCAATATCTTTTTTTACAATGGCCTAATAATTTCTAATTTTATAGAAACCAAAGTTATATAGATATACACACAATCCTATTAAGTAAATAAAATTTTCCTTCATATTGCTTGCATATGCTTGATAAAATATTTTAATTTGGAATAATTCTAGTGGACATTTATTATTTAAATACGTGATAAATTTGCACGAAAACATCAAAATATTTAAGAAATATCTCCTTAATATACCAAACATATTTTTATTCCAAGTTCCAATTTCGAAATGCTTAAAGAAATATTTTAATTAACATGAAAAAAATTGCACCGAAACATGAAAACATGTCCAAACATATTTTTATTCGTATACACCCCTTCACATTTCTAAAAATCTATCAAAGCCTTAAGTTATATTTATATTCATTCCTTTTATAAATAAACTAATTCTCTCTTGAAAGATCAATAAGGAAAAAAGCTGGCATAAAGTTCAAAAAATTACTTTTTCCTTTAGGAAAAAAAAAAAAAAAAAAAGAAAGAAAGAGCATATAAAGAATTACGTTTCACTTACATAAAACTTCGATCGTTGTCGACTCTATCATCGGTTTCATGTCCTCGGAACGTGTGACCGAGTTCTCGGCGTAACACTTGAACGTTCTTCCATTGTCGTACACAGAGGCCGTGAAAGCGAGGTAACCTATGGTCACCGACGTGCCATCCTCCTGCGAACACCAGAGATATATTAAATCGTCGATGGCGTCATTTGTTAACAGGGAAGATCGACGAATGTTCCCAACTTGTAATTCGTAACCTTGCTTTCTCTTCGCTTCTCGCTATTTGTTTTCGAAAAGTGTCGAGAATAGATTGATTTTATTATCGTACGATCTAGTTTTTTCTTCCAATTCACTTCACTCTATATCTGTCTATACATAATTAAAAATTATCAAATATATAAGCTTGAATTATACATAAATAATTCTTCTTTCTATATTTCCAATTACCTTCCAATCGCAATAAGAGAAGAGAAGAATTTAAAATTATCTTTTTAACGTTTAACGTTAATCTATAAAATACACATTTCACAACTTTATTTCCGGATTATTGAAGGATATCGATCCTAGCTATGACTTTCGACTCTCCATATACGGAGAGCGTCATCCAGAGCGTGCAATTACTTTAAAAACAATTCAGACGAACGAATCCATCTAACCGGGGACGGTTGCTTTGCCGATTCCAATCTCGCGTCCGCGAAAAAAATCGAATCCAGAATCGAGAGTTTCATATTTCTTGGAAATTCGATTTCGCGCCGCGGCGAAAGGAGAGAAAATTGCGTTTGTTGTTCGGTCGAACGCAAAACGGGGCGAACAAAAGGCGGAAAGGAGGGAAGTGGACGCGGGAGTGACCGCGCAATCTGGCCGCACAATGTCCACACACCCATCACTTTAATTATTTCGCCGCCTTTCACGCGATTGTTCCCGCGATCACTGTCCATCCGCGAGAGAGAAATGCTTTCTTCTCGTTTTAAGGGAGGACGGCAAGATAGAGGGGAACAATGAGTTAATCAATGGAGAGGAGCAATCAGGGCCTCCTCACCCTTTTCCTCACCCTCGCCCTGATACATCCGTGCAAAAATCGCAATAAAAGGATCACGTTGCCGTGGATGGGGAAGGGAATTCTGAGCTTTCTTTGCTCAGCGTTATCGCGCTGATGCCGCAAAATTTCGTTCCATTGATTTTTCTCGTGTATGCGATTGACGTGGAGGGTTGATCCTTGTTAATTATAACATAATTGGAGAAGGGAGGTCTATTCTATTTTTGTTTTTCTTGTGTAGGGTGGGTGCAGCACGATCGAGGAAAGGTGTGATTCTATTTGGAGGAAATTTACGTAAGTCGAAAATTTTTTTTTTTTTTAATTTGATTCTCGAAGAGAAAATTGAATTTTATTCTACTTATTTCTCCAGGTTTCATCTGTGAAGGATGGTCTTTGTAATTATAGTACGATTGAAAAAAAGAAAAAAAAAGGGGGATGATTCTACAAAGGGAGAAATGATTCGAAAATTGAATTTGGAATTTTTTTTCATTTGAAGTTTTGTTTTTGAGAAAATTAAATTTGAAAATTTTATTTTTATTTTGCAAGTTTTCATATATGTTCTCGTATATCTGAAGGGGGGAGGGGAGGGTTGTAATCACAGTACTGCCAGGGAAAGGTTAAAAAAAAAATAAGTCAAACATAAAACATTTTTTAAAACTTGAAGTTTCGTTATTAAGAAAATGAATATAAAAAGTTTCTTTTATGATACAGAAACAATTATTGACATACGTTCTAAATAATTTTAAAAAGTTAATTTTTGAACGTGTAATAAATAAAAATCAAAATCATTGATTGGAAATTCCTTTTCAAAGAATATTTTCTATTATTTGAAAAATAATTTCTAATGTCAAAATATTGGACGAAGGATTGAAGTTTAATATTTTCTTCCTTCAATTTTTTAAATATAATTTAAATATAGACAATTAAATTGGATTTTCCTGGAGAAAGTATACTGTATTTTAAAAACTCCAACAATTGAGAAAAAGATGCTTTTACAAGAGAAATCTTATAAATTGAATTATAAGTTCAAAAAATTCATGATAATCAATGATAAAAATATATTCCTATATAAATATATCGTTAAAAATAGAACAGAAAAGTAGTAAATTTTATTCAAAAAATATTTTTAATTTCACCGAAGAGAACAAAATTTGATCAGAATAATGCTTTAAAAATAATTTTTCAAAAAAAAAAAATCTTAAATTAATAATTTAATAACTTCCAGCTATCGTAAAATTCAATAATGTACTTCTTTTTATGAACAAGTGGAAAAATGGAAAGAAAAGAAGATTGATACAACTTTCACATATCTATCCATCGTTCCACAATTTATTAACCTATAAAATTTCATAAATCTATTTTATTAAATTCGATAACGTCATTGGATTTTTCTTTATCTTTTTAATCCCTTTAAATTTAAACAGTAACGATTTCATTAATAGAATACTTATAGAATATCATCTCCTAAATATACAAAAATCATTAATAACATTCAAATTCCAAAAATGTTTTAATAACTCATCAACAATTACTACTTTTTCAAATCTTGACTCGATAAATTACAACTCCATTGATTTGTTTCAGCACAATTCGAATTAAACTAAACTTATACCTAGACTTTTTTTAAAAAATTTTCATACTCTAACCAAAAGAAAAAAAAAAAAAAAAAAAAAATTCTCACGAAAATCGTCAAGTTATATCCCTTCTCTTTAAAAAATATCTTCATCCTCCAGAGTTAAGAAAGAAAAAAAAAAAAAAAAGGGGATAAACTTTAAGGAAAGCAAAGAAAAATACCAGCCATTCCTCTCGTTTCAACGCGTTTATATGTACTCTAAGCCCGGAAAAGACGAATGGCTCGCGCCTTCCGCTCCATAAATTGGCTGGTACATCGAAGACGAGCGGAAAGAAAGAAGGTGGATCGAAGTTGTCCACGCGGATCCACTTAATCTCGCTTAACACGCTTCGTTCGTGCATCGGCGAGCATTTGCGGCCTCTAATTACTTGGCTCTATGTAAATTCTGTCTGTTGCCACCGTTACACCACCACCACCAACACCACCACCCCCGCGATTCGATCGTTACGTCACCGGTGGTGCCATAATCAGCTACTCGGTAAACAATGCTAATTATGGCACCAGGAACACGCGAAACACCGCATAATGCAAATCTAAAATCGCGATAATGTAATTCCTGTTGGAACGATTAACGGACTGATTAAATACGAAGACGAATCAGTTTGACGTGTAATTGTAATGGCGTAATACAATGGAAACGTGTTGGATACGTTTAGGGATCGGGAAAGATTTGTGATCAGATCAATTTTGAGTTTTAATTGATTCCATTTTATTCTTGCAAATGGAAGATATACGATTATTTTAATTATTTCATTATAATATAATATATTCCATTATAATATAATATATAATATATTCCATAATTATGTCATTAGTGCTCAAATCAAGTTTCTCCTTTTTTTTTTTTAAATTGTGTGTACCATTGTGAAGGATCTTAAAAAAGTTAATGATCAATTGGTTAAATACAGATTGAGATAATTGAGGGTGATTAGAAATTCGATGAAGTGATGTAAGTTTTATATTGCATTTGTGTTTTAATTGGTGTATGAGAATTTGAATATTTTAATTACTTTTGTTGTGAATTTTAAACAAACTATTTTGAAGATTAAAGATATTTTGATTAACCAAATTTTGTCTTTCACGTTATTTTAGAAATTTCATGGATATAATAAGTAAACCATTTCTATTCGCAAGTCACTTGATTATATAAATACATTGTCTTATTTTAAAACGAAATCGTACATCACGTATATTATACTCAACTTGAAAATTTCAATATCCTCTTCTAACTCAAAAATAAACAACAAATTTTCTTTAAGTCGCATAATAAAACCAAAATTCTGAATTTTACTAATAAAATTAAAAGAATTTACTCAACTTCCCTCCTTCCATTCAATTTTTATCCCTTTTTCTTTCAACGATAAATAAATTATAATTTATAATACCAATTAATAATTGTGGTATAAAATAACAAACAACCTAAATCACAATACATTATAACTTCTTCAAACGTAACTCAAACAAATGCTTGATACCAACCATAAATAATACAAAACATAACAACATAAATACATAAATACATAAATACATAAATAACAACATAAATAATACAAAAGAATTGAAAAAAAAAAATAAAACCAAAATACGTCAAGAGAAAAAGACAATAAAGAGAAAGAAGAACGGATAGGAAAAAAAAAAAAAAAAGAAGCTGATCGATTGACATAAGTTAAGACGATCCTATTTCTTACTCACCCGTTCCAAAATCGAAGCGACTTTATACCCGCGGATATTGCCATAATGGATTTATGATGGCCGCGATCCCGTACACATTCCCCGTATACATACGCGCGCACGCGTTATTACGAGGGACACGAAATGACGCATAATGATTTTCCGATGCGACAACCCCGGGAACATCGCCATTTCATCTGTGAAATCACTTTTTCATACGCGACAACCGACACCCGGCCGACTCTCCATGTTCACGCGCCTATATATGACGAATAATCGTCGGCCGGAAATTTCACGGGCGTGAAAATGAAAATTTTCACGGGGCGGTTGATTTCAACGTACGGTTTACAGATCACGGAGTGCAGTAGTTATTTCGATGAATGTGTAGGCGGTGCTCGTTTGACTCGATTTCGACACGAGGGCGACGGGTGTAATGAGATTGAATTGATTGAATTTGGTACGCGCATTGGCGCCCGCCACGTGTCCGTGGTGGAAAATGATCGTCGTTCGATGTTTGTCTCGTGATATCAAGTTACTGTTACATACGCTCGGTCGATTGAATAACTTTATCGCGTGAAACGTTCGCGCGCAACTATTCCGCTTCGTATCGTCCGATTATACCACGTGTAGTTTGTTTTGATTCTCGTGCGTGCGTGTGTGCGTGTGTCGAATAACGTGTATGCTTTGAAGAATGTTTTGATTTATATGGAGTATATGGGGAGTAGGGGAATAGAAGATTGTTTACTTTCCAAGTTTGGAAGTTTTTGATGAATTTATTATTTTCAAGATTAACTAACTTTAGAGAATTATTGTGTACGTAAAGGATTTACGAAAAAACTACTCTGAATTTAAAAATTAAAATTCATTTGCGCGTGTTAAATATAAGTTGTTTGCAATATCAAAAAGTAGCTATATTTATACAACTTATTCTTTTAAATAATAATTAAACAATCTTACGAATCTTTCTTTTATCTTGCAATCGAACATATAGTATAAAATAAAATAAAGTAACATCGATTCTCTTTTAATAAATATTAGAAATCCAGAGAAAAATTCTTTGGACGAGAATTTCATCCAGATATCGAATTCGCTTACATTATCCAATTGTATTATTAAATATTATTAAATTGTATCACGTGCACATTTTTCACGGAACGATGAAACGAGGGCAGAGCTAGAATACTCTCTCGAGCTAGCGGCGACTAATCGAATTAATTCGGAGCGAACGATCCGAAGAAATCACGGGGGGTCGAAATTCGCGCGAAGTATTCTGCATTTGAATAATTGCTTTCTCTCGCTTCGCCTATTAACCAATTGCTAATTCTGTTTATTCGCCGGCCGAAAATAGTTTATTGCTCGTGAACTGGATGGAACACTTTGTTACTTGAAACATGCGTTCGGGAATGACGCGTTGAAACTTTCGACGATCGTTCGATCGACAAAAGAGGGAAGAAACGCCGTTAGGAAATTTTAGCAATAGAAATAGTAAAAAAGTGATATCGGATTTTAAAATGGGGACTATCCAGGGATCGAGAAGTTCAACTTATGACTTTTAGATCGATACTCTAAGGGGAAGGAAATATGATAATAATGAGACAATATATATTCGATACTGATAAAACGTTGGTAAAAAGTGGTTGATTCAATTGTGAAGGAATATGATTTCAAACGAGATGTATAGCAACTTTCCAAATGTTCCTCGAGATACGATTCTTCTTTTGCAAAATTTTATGAAAAAAAATTTTATATTTTTTTAATGGGATAAAGTAAATGTAATATTTCGCTTTTAAATGCTATACAAATCGCAATAATACAATACGATAATTTTTCAAATATATTCCATAATCGTTAAAAGTAAGTGAAACACAGTGGAATAAAAATTTTGTAATTTTCTGTAATACTCACATTCTCTTCCACTTTTGTCTCGAACATGTCGAACCTGTCACTGGCGTTCAAATACTCGGTACCATTCTGCCAAGTTATGTTCGCGGCTGGTCTGGCTGCTCGTACGGTGCATTGAAGCAGGATTTTCGTTCCTTGCACCACGTGACCCACCACCCCGGCTAAATCCATCTTCAACGGTCGAACTGGAAAAGATGTCTTGTTTAAATATTTAAGACTCTGTTAGAGGGGAGATAAAAATCGAGGAAAAATATATTGGAAACGTTTATAAATATTCAAAGCACATGAAATATTTTTAAAATATTTATTATTACAAATATTATTTGCGAATTCTTCAACTTTTGAATTTTTTAATTTTCGGTGTTTTTTTACACATTTTCAAATTCACATTCTAAACTCAAAAATTTCTCCACTTCTCATCATCAAATCTAATTTTTAAATTTCCAAATCCTTCGACTTTCATCTTAGAAATTCTACCAATTTCCAAATCTCTAAATTTTTACACTACGTTCATCGATATCATTTCAATTACATATATTTCGTTACTTCCACAACATCATCGCACCCTGTTATTCAAAAATCCACAATATCCAAACTACATACGAAATCGTATGAACGGAATCGTATCACGGAAGCTTCTCACGGAAGCTAAAGAAATCGGATCAAATCAAATTCGAGCGGAAATAAAGGACAATGGGACGAGCGGCGACGCGTTATTCTGAAAATCCAATTATCGTGTTACGCCGACTCGACAGTAATGGAACATTTACCTTTTTTCATATAAAACTGATTCACGTTCCCCATATTTGTTAGCAACGCGTGTACACATTTACACAGAGAGAAATGCACAGTGTCAGGGCTGGGGAGCTGTCTAGTATAGACGATCTGATGCAATATCCACAGGCTGAGCCGCCGTCTGTACCTTGCATCTTCTATAAGAATAATATAAAGGTGTTGCAAGATGCAAGGTGAGACAGCTGTAAGGTATGGGGTAAGATCGAGAGCGTTGGGGGAGGGTTGAATAAAGAGGAAGGGTCGATGGATGGACGGGGCGTGCCGGAAAATCAGAAAGTCAAGTTGCATCAAGAAATTCGAAGGAATCCCTGCCTCGGGGAGAGATTTTCATTCTTTTGCTTCGTACTTTTCTTCGACCTGTCTTTCTCTCTCTCTCTCTCTCTCTCTGAGTGCAATACTTGAAAAAAAGAAAGAAAAAAAAATTTTTTCTCTTTTCGTAGAATCTTAATTAGAAGATTCTAATTTTCTAATTTTCTAATTTTGTTATTAAGATGAAATTGGTTATTTCCTTATTTATTAATTTAGATAAATTTTCGATAATTGGGAAATAAGTAGAATTTTTTTATGGTTATTATTTTAAATTGTAATATACAATAATGTGAATTTTGAATTCCTCTTTCTTATTATTTTTGAAACATTGAAATTTAATTTTGATTTAAATATATAAATGAAGAATAAAAATTTAAAATTTAAAAAATGAATTATCATATTTTCTTGCCCGTGTGTAAATTTAAATGATGATAATTTGATTTCACGAAATACAATTATCATTTGTAAAATTAATGTAGTTGATCGTATATTCGATTAATTTAAAACTTTCGTCCCTTCTCTCATTGTCAAATTTACGTTTTCGACTTTAGAACAGTTTCAACCGGTTTCATTCTCTCTAAAACTCCCCTGACGCGTGTTCTGTTTACTACATTCACCAAAATTCCTCTTTTATGCATTAACCATTCTTAAGAGCATCAACACACATAGAATAGTGCATACTCACTCGACTCCATATTTTGAAATCCAAAATGTACACACGTTTCCACAATCTTGATCATTTAAATATTTCAAAAAATTCATATACTTATCAATGTCCACATATGAAGGAATATACAAAATATGCAATACGATTTGTCACAAAATTTAATTCAAACTTGAACTTTGATCCCTATGAATCGTATCATAAAAATCGAAATGGTATATATTTTTATTCCATTATCCAGAAAAAGAAAATCAATATTACTTTTTAAATTCATTCGTTATTCTTCTAAAAATTTCTCCTTTAAAATAGCCAAAGTATCCTTTATCTATATTTTCAATCGAATGAATAATATTGTAAAGCCTCAATTCCATCAGACTGCTATCTTAATAACATCGAAATCGGTATTGAAAGACAAAATAATAATTCGTTTCTATAAACGATATTCAGTTACAACAAACAGAAACGTCTGGAGCCAGGAGAACGGATATCAGAATCGAGCAACGTATCGGATAATTGGACAAAATCGAAGTCTGGGGACGGGTGTCCAATAAACGAATCAATCGACGCGCGACCACGTTTTATCTCCACGATATCGTTTTCGTTAACGTTTTTTCCTCCCACCCCTCTTCCTTCCTTCACCCTTTCGGCTTGATTAAACGCACCCTCGCTTTTCCCTTCGAATTTTATTCGTCCCGATTTGACAATGTCCCTTACCATGGAACCTCGATCGAACAATTTCTATAATTCCTTTGAACCGTTTTATTACCATGGATGGAATCATACACGCATTCGACAGGGGATTGGAGGAATTTCTTTCTTGATATTTATTTACCTATCGATATTGTTACGTATGCAAGAAGGATTTTAAATTAATATTCTATTCGATACGGTTATATATTTAGGGGCAAATAATTTTATCAGATTATTTATGAAATAATGATTAAATTAATTTTAAATATTTACGTTAACATGGAATATATATATAAATCCTTTGCTTGTTAATCAAGCTCGTAAATTTTAGAGATGCTTGTTAAATAATTTGGAAAGAGGTGGACGTACGATCCTTTCATGGTTATCCATCGAATTAATATTGTGTCACTGACTCGAATACGGAGAATAATTATTCGAATTCGAAAATAATCTAAAGTTATTCGAGAAATACTTTTTACATCCGATATTATTTTTTGATATAATGAAACCTAAATAATTTTCTAAATAATTTCAGAAACAAAAATCATATATAATAATAATAATAATAATAATAATTTATTATTTCTTTAAAATAAAATTATCAAAAATCAATTCCTATATATTGTAAGATCAAAGAAAAAATTCAAACCAATAAAATAGAGAATTAAAAATCATACATATTCCATAAAAATTACAATCCCTATACTAAACTCTACCCCTCTTCGAATTCCAGCTGCAACTCTCAGACGCCATCGTAATCAACGGTTTCGCGATTATCCATCTCTGAAACTCTGAGGTCACGAGGAAGGAAAGACGGGAAATGTTAAGCAAAAGACGGAGAGGGAACACGGCGAAGAAGGGATAAGCCCTTCTGGAGGCGCTCTCGCAGCGGCTCACGTGCACGCGAGTTGTAAAATTTCTAAGTGGCCGGGCCACGTTTACGCTTCGTGCTATCGCGCTATCCCCGGATAAATCGTAAAATCACGGGCGGGGATTTTCGAAAAGCCGTCATAAAGTTGACGAGGGAGAGGAAATTTTTCGTTTCGGAGAGGAAATAGGAGAGGAGAGGAAGTTCGAGAGATGGGAGAGAGGAGCCCAGACTTTTGTCGTCCATCTGTGTAATTGAACTGCGACCGGAAACGCGTGACAAGGCTTTGCCCTCCCCTAACGTTGCTCGCAGGGGTTAATAGAAGGATTTCGATGGAAATAAGAAAATTGTTGCCGATAAAAGGATTTTTCTTTCTTGAATAAATATTTGGACATCGATTTAACTATCGAAAGTTAAGCTGATTTTATTTTGATTTGTGATTAATTTTCTTTATTGGAGCAAGGTTAGAGAAATTATATGTACTTGCTTATTTGCGTTGATTAAAATTCTGCACTTACACTTTGATGAATGTCAAGGTAAAAAAAATTGTACTTATTATCATACGAAAATTTCTAAACAAGTATTATATCTTGAATATCATTTGAATATCATCATATCATCAAGGTTTCGATGTAATCTTCTAGATTATCTAGAATAATATTTCTTCACTTGAATAAATAAATAAATTCAAAAGGTCAATCTTGCAATCTTTATCTTCGCGTTTAATCTTAAGGAATATAAAGTAGCCTCTGTTTTAATAAATTATTATTATTATTATTATTATTATCAATGTGTAAATAGAGAAACGGTAAGGCTTCATGTGAGTGTTATTAAAGCTAATCCAATTATCAAGTAACAAACAAGCTGCGATAATCTCATCTCGTCTCCCTATTGTTAACTGCTATTTCGCTTTACCCGTGACAGAAGATTGATGACATGCAATCTTGCATGTCTACCAATTTAATTTTAATGAAGTTTCCGATCACGTGAAGGAACTCGAAGGTAAACACTAAGCTTTTCGCGGAAAAACTTTCTATTCGCCTGTATAATAAAATACATCAAACTTCGCGATTACAAACTTTACCGATTATATCATACACCACAAGAAGAAATATAAACTAAAAAACTAAACTCTAAATCCTATCTTCATCAAATGCAATTTACCTCAAACATTGATTTTAAAATCGACGAACAACTGTATAATCCTCCTCCTCCTCTCGCAAGGCAGAGAAGAATCATAAGAATCCGTCCGTTTCGGTGAAAATATATACCGAAACGAGCTATTTCTTGCTCCTCTTACTTCCAACCTTTTTCCCTTCTTGCGTCGTCCGCAAGCTCAATTTCCGGTCGGCCGAGATACTTAGTCCCGCCACTCGACGTCGTTTCCCGTACCGGTCGAGGAAACATTAAAAAGTTCACGTGCGAGAAACGTTCCTCCTCAGCTACGAAACGAGACCAACTTTCCCCTCTCCTCTTCCCACCCATCCTTTCATACCTCTTCCATCTCTCTCTCTCTCTCTTCTCTTCTCTTCTCTTCTCTTCTCTCGACGCAACGCTCGAAGGAGGGGGAGGGAGAAAGTTTCTCGAGGCGGGGGAGATAATTCTCGGGCCAGAGCCGTGAGCGGGCAATCAGCGAAACGACGCAGGAAGAACGTGAAAAGAAAGAGTGGAGATAGAGAGCGAACAGGGAATCTAATATCGAGGATTGCATTTGCCTTGAACCTCTACTTTTCTCTTCCCCCACTTGCCCCCTCTCTTGGCTTCGACAAACGCCAAAGAGGGGGGAAGGAAAGAGAAAGAGAAAGAAAGAGAAAGAAAGAGAAAGACAAAGATCCGTTCCCCTCTCTTTTCTTCTCCCT